CCTCAGCCTCTGCCCGCCGCGGCGGGGGCTGCTCGGCTGCCGCACCAGCCGGGCGCCCCCGCAGAGACTCGCGCCGCGACGCGTGCTGCCGCTGCGAATCCGGGGATCCTATAGACGTCCCCGCGCCGAGCAGCGACCCGCTGCGCGCCAGGTCGAGGAGGCTGCCGCTGCGGCCTGCACCCGCGGAGCGGAGGAGCGTCTCCACGTCGGGCGGGGGCTCGCCGCCGTCGTAGCTGTCGAGGACGGTGTCGTTTATGAAAGCGATGAACGCGGCGTCGTCGTCGCCCTGCTGCCTGGATTGCGGCGCCGGCGGGAGGGCAAAGGGAGGCATGGGCGCCGGCGCGGGGCACGGGTAGAGGGTTGGGGCGGCGGGTGGAAGGCCAGATGGGGCGCGAGCACAGCAGTGTGCGGGCAGTGCGCCACGTCATGCTTGTCTTATGCGCAGCGGCCATGGCACGGACGGTGCCGTTGCAGGTACGCGAAGAGTACAAAGAGAAACGACAGCGTCCAAGTAATCATGAAAGTTTTGAAGGGTGTGCGCGGCTCACCCCTTCGACCTGCGCGTGCCCAGCCCTGCATCAGCAGAGGGCAGCGAGCCGTTGTGATCCAGAGACGGCTGCTTTCCGGCTTCGACCATACTTCTATTCGCAAGACCGATCCCAGGGGGCGTTCGCGACAACAAAGTAGTGCGTGTGTCACGCTTGCGACATCAATTGGTGTCGATGTGAGCACTTATGATGTGACGGCTCTGAAAACATCAAGAGGGAATGCAACCCTTGCACTTTGCACCCTGGGACGTCCAGCTGGAGTTGAGCGGGCCCGCTGTCGCCGGCTTCCGCCGGGTCTGCTTGAACCGCGCGCCGCCCGCCCATGTGACTCAGTGACCGACCGCGCACCGGACGACACCACACACCACCCTTTGACCGCCAGTGCCTGGCTGAAGGCAGCAATGCACATGCGTGCCTCTGCGGCAAACACCCTTGCCTTCCGAGACTCATGCCCCAGAGTAAGGGGCACCCGCGCCAGTCCCAGCAATTCCTGTGTTGGAAACCCACCTCTGCCAATTGCTTGCCTGCTGTTCTCTCCACTGGGTGGCTGTCCTCATGTGTGGGTAGGACCCCATCGGGTTGATGGAGAAGGGGCGTTCGCCGCGCACATCCATTTCTCAGTTGTGTCGTGGGTCAGTCGCATGACAGGGGAATGCGCACACTTACACATGGATTGACTCATGCCCCCGCAAAGAGAGGTGCGAGAGCCCTCAAAAGAGGGCAAGAGCCCTCAAACGAGGGCAACGGAATGGAATGGGCTGGAAAGAGCAGGCGAGGCAGGGCACTCAACGCGGTGCCCAGCCAAGCTGGGCTACACAGCCATGGTGGGCGACACAACTGGCTGATCGACGCAACGCAGCCCAGTGCGTATGCGAGCGGCACGTGGTTCACAGTCTGCGCACGATTGTGGCTTGAGGGTGCGGGCCTGACATAATACGGGGAGCCTGCACGCCTCTGTTCGCGCGAAAGTGGTGGCGCCTCAATACACGTACATCAAATCGAGCAAGTGCAGTCCTTTCATGTGTTGTCGTGCTCTCAATCAGCACGCTGATAATTTGCCCCCGCGGCTTTTAGGTATTTGGTACATGCACGCGTGAAAAACAGCGCAGCGCGCTCGAGGCTGGGGCGAGCAGGCCGCGGTCCAGGCGCGGCAGGCATGAGTGACGGCAGGGAGTGTCTCACACACACATCATGGCGGCTCTGGGCAGAAAGTGGAAAGTTGCCTTTGCTTTGTCTGAGGATGTGCGCTGCTGTCAAACATGGCCAGGACCTCAGCCGTCCCAGGCAACACCAAGGTTGCGCAGCGACACACTCACACGCCCCAACCAAGCTTTGCACCGCTCACGCGCGCCCCCACCCCCACCCCCCCTCCGCCTCGGCCCTCTCTTCATCTCGCTCGCTCGCTTGCTGGCTCGCTTGTCGCAGACGCGGTCGGCCCCTTGGGGGGCCGGCCCTGGCCACCCAGGGGCCCTCACTCGTCCCACCAGGGGGCCAGCAGGAAGCTCAGCGCCCCTGTCAGGCGCCAGGACCAGGCCAGCTCGTGGTGGCCCGCGTCCTCCTCCACCTGGCAGCAGGATGGGTTGGGCGTCAAAAGAGGCAGGCGTGGACGGGGTGAATCAGGGCTGACGTGCAAGGGGGAGGAGGGCGTGACAGGGAAAGGCATCATTTGCGGGCAGGAAAGGGTGAAGAGGGCGGGCGGGCCTTGCGGCTGGTGGGCCCATGCTGCCTGCAGGACCAAGGGGTTGGGCCGAGGCTGCAGGCGCAGCGCAGGCACCAGGCAGGCGGCAGCCACGCAAGCAGCACGGGGAGAGTGCAAGCGGGCGACCGCGAGCGCAGGGTGAGGCAGGGCCCCGCACCTGGAGGTAGAAGCGCTGCGGGCCGCGCAGGCCAGCCTCCTGCACAGCGTGTGCTGCTTCCTTGTAATAGTGCAGCAGCAGCGCGTCAATCTCATCTCTGTGTGTGCAGGGTGGGGAGGGGTGTTGGTTGGATTATTTTGGTTTGGTCTGGCTTGTGGAAGCGCGTAAGAAGGGGGCCAGGCGCGAGGTTTGGCGTCGGTGGTGGGATTGAGGAGTTGGGGGGCGTACATGGGCGCACAGGTGGGCGCAAGCAGGCACGCCTGCTGCGGACGCTGCGTGCCTGCCTGCCTGGCTCGGGGCACCCAGGACGCAAACAGTCACAGGGTGACACCCACGCAACCCCGCGTCCCTTCGCGCCGCCGCCTGCGGGGCCCGCACGGCTCGCCGCCTACGCCGCTTCCCCTTGTTTGTGTCCACGTCCCCGCCCCCTCGCCTCACCTGACGTGGTCGCGCGTGGCTGAGTACTCCTTGGTGCCGCACCCCATGAACAGGCGCTCAGGCAGGGCCCCGCGGTGGGCCCACAGGTCACCAATGAAGCGGCCCTCCGCGATCCAGAGGGACGGGCTCTCGGCCAGCACGGCGCCGAAGACGTGCGGGTAGTGCATGGCCGCGTACAGCGCGGTCACGCCTGTTGTGATTTGGAGGGAGCAGCGAGATGAGGCAGGGCGGTGAGCAGGGCCAGCAGCGCCCCAAGGGTTGGCAGGGGTGGAGGGAGCGAGGACGGGCGCCGCTGGTTGCATACCCGCAGGGTCGCGCGTGACTGAGACCCGGGCGCCTGGGGCGGCAGGGGTGGTGCGACGTGGCGCAAGTCCCTACGACAGCAGGCATGTGCGGGGCGTGTGCCCTCAGCCTCAACGCCGACGCTGCTGCTCGCCGGTCGACCCCCTGCCCGCGGCCCACGCACCTGCGAAGGAGCCGCCCCCGAACGCGACGCGTGCGGGGTCTGTGGCGGTGTTGAAGGTCGCTGTGACGAGGGGCATGAGCTCCTGGACCAAACGCCGCATGTAGCCCTCGCAGCCGCCGCCGGGCCAGCGCTCCGCATCGCCGCGGAAGCCGCCCTGCCCAGTGCCTGCGGGCACGCGCGTGTGTGTGTAGGCGCCTTGTTGGTTCATGGAAAGCGTTGATCGGTCGCAGTGGCTTAGAAAAGCACAGCACTTTGTGGGTTTGCTCCTGCTCACAATTTGGCAGGCCATACAGGGCACATTTCACTCACAGCCAGTGACTGACAGTCATGCCCTCGTGCGAGCCCCTTCTGCTTGACCAGCTGCACCAATCATGACGTCAATTGTGTGCGCTGTCCTTTGCGTTGTACGTACTTTCAACTCGTCCAGCCACCCCCAGTGAGCCTGTTGTCTTCTGAAATCCCGCCCAGCAGGGCGCCCTTGCCTCCCCACCTGGCTTGTATGGGAGGTAGTTGAAGGAGCGCATTGGGCCTGCGCTGTCGACCGCCACCACAATGAACGGCGGCACCACGCCTCCCTCGATCAGGCCCGCGGCGCAGTGGCCCACGTTCCAGGCGTGACCCTGCGTGGAGGATCAAGTGCGGGGGGCAGGGGCCACCCAACAGGGTGAAGGCAGGTCGGGTGTGCTTGATGGCACTGCCAACATTGGCCGGCAGGCTGCCGATCACCAGCGAATTTAAGGGACAGATGGACACAAGCTGGTCAACCTAGTATAAGCAACAAGTCGACAATTGTACAGGGGGCTTTCACACGTGCTTGCTGACTAAAATATGCCGATTTGTGGTTTAGTCATTGCCTCAGACTCCATTCAACCCACCTGATGAGCGAGCCTGCAGAAAGA